AAAAGCAGATAACTATTAATGTGGACTGTGATATGGCCACAGCTCAACCCTATCATATTTCATAATCCCAGACAAAAACTGTATTTTTAAATCCTGTATCTCTATATAAAAACAACTCTACTGTACAGACAATTAAGTTTAGAAGTAATTATATATCCTTAAGCAGTGCATTCTTGGGGGAAGCAAAACACTTAAACTTTGTACTAATTGTACTAATGCAATTTTTCCAGAAATTCAGTATCAGTAAAGAGAACATGTTTAGTGTTTTAAAAAGTACAACAAATTCAATATAATACAAGGGCTGTAGAGCTACAGAAAAAGTAGGGCTAGAAGGGACTTTAGGAGGTCATTCAGTTCCTCACACAAGGCAGGATCATTCCTGACTAAGGCATCCCAACCAAGTGTCTGTCTAATCTGCTCTTGAAAGTTCCTAAGAACGAAGAGTCCACAACCTCTATGGGTAGCTTGTTCCATTGCTTAACCACTCTCAGAGACAGTTCTTAGTAATTTCCAACTTAAATTTCCTGTGCTGCAATCTGAGACTGTTGCCACTAGTCTTGTCCTCTGTAGACACAGAATAGTCTATGGCTGGAAACAGATGTTGCCCTTGTGTCACCATAAACATTTTATGGCAACACAAAACCAAACAGACATCCATGCCCTTTGTCACACCACACACACCCACAATTGTAGCCCCAACAATTTACAGCAATAAATTGCTGTACCACCTTTTCACAGTATACATGTTTGCTTATGGTACAAGAGTATGGGGCTGCCTAGGATTGCCCATGCTCTCTGGCTGCCCTGGGCAGCTGCTCCTGGAGATTCAGGGGCTCAAATCCAGCATGACAACAGCCCCAGGTATCTGGCCTCGACATCTGGAGACACAAAGTAGGGAACCTCATTGAATTCTGAGCTTGCAGGCTCATGCGGCAGGCACGGAGCGAGGAAGACCTGTGCCTTGCCCAGCGGCTGCAGGGGAATTCCCAGGGTGCACAACTGTAGGTGCAGAGGGGCCTGATCTACAGGGAGATTCATGTACTGCATGTGTGCATAAAATGCATGCCAGAAATCCCCTGCCAGGAGATTCTCGCCATGTGTTTCATGCTGCCATGCCCCAGGATTTCCCCCTGCAGGGGATTCCCATAGCACACATCATGCTGCTGCACCCTAGCTCGGGGTGTGGCAGCCATGGCCCCTGTCCCTCGGGATCTGGCCCTTGAAGCCCCAGGAGCAGCAGGGTCCTGACCCTGTGGTGCAAGAGCCCTGGCCAACATCCGTAGACACCAATGAGGTTGATGAGCTGTGTCTTCTCTTGGCTCAATGTCTTGCAATTGTTCTTTTATTCACAAGGATAATTGCAAGATAAACGTGTATCCCTCAAACAAACAGCACATGAAAAGCAGATGAGGGTAATTACTAGGGGAGAAAAATATACAGTTGGTCCAATAAAAGATATCCCAGAAAAGCCTTAACACTGAAGGAGCAAGCATCTGGAACACAGATTGAAAACCAAGAGAATTGGACTGAGGTTCAGTCAAAATGTCTGTATTTTCTTAACTAGACTTCTAGTACAAACCAGACAAAAATGGAATCCAAACTTGCAGTAGTTTCATTAGCTGCAGAAGTTCTGCCCAGGAAACCAACACATTTCATTAAGGCAAAAAACAGCTATTCTACTGGAGATGAATGGCCCCTTCAGTTGGCATTCCTTCCACTTGTCCCCTTCAGGCTCCGTGCCTTCTACAAATAAGTATAAACCCCCCCAAAATACATGAGTGAGATCAAGTTATGGTAAGAAGTTTCCAGGTGAAGTAGAAGTAAATCATATCAACATAACACACACAGCACATTTAGAGAGTGTTTATTACATATTTACTGGATAAATTAAATTAGAAAAAATACAGACCATTATAACATTTTACTAGTCTACATTTTGTAGATTTGAGATTTTGGGGGTGAAGGTGACAAGATGGGGAAAAAACTCAGCACGTAGGCCATTAACTGGAAAACGGTAACAAAATTAAAATGAGCAGGTGCTGGGAGAACGATGGTCACAAAAAGCAGAAGCAGACCCTTACAAGGGAAAAATATTTTCTGATTGAAAAAGAACTTGATATGCATTTTATATTAACCAACAGGCTTTTCTCACCCCTCCCCCCTGCCCAGATTGGTCAGCTGACATTTCAGGTCAGTGGTGCTGCTCTCTCACTGAAAGGTCACTCATCTGCTTCATAGTTCACATCAGCCTTATTTTCCTTAGCAAAGCTAGAAACCAACAAGTGCAATTAGGATGACAGGTGGAAGTTAGGCAGACTTTGCACCCCTTTTCCCATGTCTCTGTATCACTTCACTCTAACATTTTCATGAGCTTTACACAAAGGGACAACAAACATGGCCCCTCCCCAAAATGTACAAGGCACACTCTGGCTCTGATTAGCAAGATTTTGGCTCATTCTATTTTCACTATTCAGCTTATGTCCACTGTAACCCCCAGGTCCTTTTCTGCAGAGCTGCTGCCCAGCCAGTCAGCCCCCAGCCTGTACTGGTACATGAGGCTGTTCTGTCTGAAGTGCAGGACTTTGCATTTCTCCTTACTGAACCTCAAGGGATTTCTTTTGGTCCAATCCTCCAATTTGTCCAAGTCTCTCTGAATCCTAACCCTACCCTCCAGTGTATCTACTACTTCACCCAGCTTGGTATCATCCTGAGAGTTGCTGAAAGCAAATCTAATATCTTTTACTAGACCAACTAAAATAGTTGGAAAAATTCTTCTTTGCAGGTTCAAACACTCTTCTTCAGGCAGAGAAAGCATCTGCAGTTGTTTTGTGCTCTCCTTGATGGGCCAGTGGTGGCAGCAGATGGAAGAAGCTGCCACTGCCTGGGTTGTCTAGAAAGGCAGTCCAGCTATGGAGCTGCCCCAGCCCCACTGCATGCCCAAGGGGCGGCAGGACATGCCACCACCTATCAGTGCCTGGGCCAGGAAGGATGGATGGACCCACCGCAGGCTGGACAAAGCCCCTCTGTGGGTTGAATGCGGACCGCGGGCCATATTTTTCCCACCCCTGGGATACAAACACCCTTCTTCTTTCAGGAAGAGGGAGCCTTGGCCTGCCGTTGTTTTGTGCTCTCCTGGATGGAATCCCATCCAGGGATAGAATCAGAAAGGTACGGGCAGCAGAACGTGCCACAGGTGGGTAGTGCAGAGCAGGCACAGGGTGCGCTGGGGGTCAGGGCTGTGCCCAGGTTCCAGCTGGTCCACTCCTGCTGGGGTGAGTCTGGAGCCGGTGCGGCACAGGGCAGGGGCTGCGCACTGTTGGCGGTGGTGGGGAGGCGTTGCAGAGCATGTGGTGACTATCTCAGGGGCACACACAGGGGGCTCCCATGCACACCCCACCATATCTACAAACCCTCCCCCATAACCCCCCCTCCCCCCCACAATCACACACCTCACAAACATTGCACCCACCCACACCCTCACTCACCCACACCCTCCCACAAAACCACCTACAGTCCCCTACAAGCCCCATACCACCCCCCAATATACAAGAGTAAGACTTTATATTGAGCTATTAGGCAATCACCTATATATATATGATGCAAACGCACACAAATCAGGACAATTTTTTAAAAATAAAATTAAAATATATTATTGTGGATGTTTGCTTCTTAGTACATAATTTGGTTTTTTTCCAGTACCAAGATGGCAAACCCAGCTTCCCAAATGAAGTATTTTCAGGGGACTTCTGGTGACAAAGGTCAGGGGTTAGGAGGTGGGACTTCCATTCCCAAGATGGAGACCAGGAGGCAGAGCACCTTTCAAGGGGCAGGGCTACCCCTGCAGCTACCCTACAGCTTGCCAAAACTCGTTAACCCACCCTCCAGCCAAAATAATAGCCTGCCCTATTGTACCCAGAAGCTTGCAAAGAAGAATTTTTCCAACTGTTTTAGTTAGTCTAATAAAGGGTATCCGATTTACCCAAAGATCCTTGTCTGCCTATGTCCTTAGACCAACATGGCTGCAACCGACACCCCTGAGTCTTGCTGAGGGTACACTCTATGCCATCTTCCAGGTCACTGATGAAGACATTGAACAAAACTGGCCCCAAGACCAACCCCTGGGGCACTCCACTTGATAATGGCTGCTGGCTAGACACTGAGCCATTGATTATAACTACAAGCTTAACGATCCAGCCAATTTTCTATCGACCTTACAATCCATTCACCCAACCCATACTTTCTTAGCTTGCTTGCAAGAATGTTGTAGGAGACCATATCAAAATCTTGCTAAAGTCAAGGTGCATCACATCCACTGCCCTCCCTGCATCCAGAGCCAATCATATCACAGAAGGCAATCAGGTTGGTCAAGCATGACTTGCCCTTGGTAAATCCATGCCGACTGTTCCTGATCTCTTTCCTCTTCTCCAAATGCTCAGAAATGGATTCCTTGAGGATCTGCTCCATGCTTTTTCCAGGGACTGACATAGGGCTGACCGGTCTGTAGTTCCCCAGATCCTCCTTCTTTCCTTTCTTAAAGACGGGCGCTATGGACTCCCTTTTGGAGTCACCCAGAATCTCTCCTGATCACCATGCAAGTTGGCTTTCTTTAAGTAGCAAGTGTTCTCAGGAGACAGGACATACAATTCTTACCCTGGACAGTTCATAAAATTGCTTCTTAACTCCAGTAAAACAGCTTACTATTAACTGATTCTGATATTTTTAAGGTATATCAAACATACTTTCAAGTCACTAGATTTGTAAATCTGACCCATAAGAAAACCCGAATTTACAGTTAGAGATTCAAGCACATTTAAAATAAATTTGACAGCATTTATTGCAAGGAAGAAATATATGGCTCAGTTCATGCAAAGTATAGAACCTCCACATGAGACACTACATATCTTTCTCCCAAAATGTACATGTACAAATGCAAGTTTAATATGTGTATTGTACTTTATATTTACAAACACACATTTTTTAAAATTAGCTTTCAGGTCTTTATGAAGCGAGGCTTGGGATTTCATTCATCATTTTTTTTAAATTAAAATATTGGTATATACTGCTGCTAGTACACAGTAATTTAGGCAATTAATAGCCTTATTATAAACTGAATATTCGCTAATTTTGTTTTCTGATACAGGACTGGTATCACTGTACAAATAATCAAAAGTAAAACCTTATTTGTATTTTTAAGTGTTTACAGTGTTCTGGAACAGAATAGTTTTGTACAGATTTGTGGACTCTTACATTAAATATTTTTACATTTAACCTTAGCCTTCAAAAAAAGTGCTCAACTGGAAACTGCCAAGTAGTCTCTTAAACAGTTATGGCAACCTTCCTGTCTACTGACATTGTTTATCGTTGTTTGATGTTTTCACCAACATAAATCACCATGTAATGTAATAAAACTATATCAAAACTGCTGTCTAACTGGTCCTCAGGTACCATTTTGTATGTCTGAAATAGAGGTTCATCTATTATTAGCTCAGTAGTTTCATTCAAGAGAGACAACTCCTTTATGAGTTGTAGTATTTTATGGCGGAAAAACATGACCAGACTCACCCTTTTGCAAGTTACAGCTCATCAAAGAAATGTGTTTATTATTGCTCTCATTATTCTTAGGCTCCAGTTTCTCAGAAGTCTTTCATTTAAGAACAAATATGCCCATTATGTTGCTGGCTCTAACTTCTCAACATCCTCTGCTAACGCATTCTTTGAAACCTCCTCTTTGCTTTTACCCTGTTGTAAGGTATATACTGATGGGCCCAGCCTTGAGATTTTCCCGCTGCCAAGGCACTCGTCACCCTTGTAGAACACAGCAAACTAGAAGACAAACACATCAATAATGTTTATAGCATCTAAGCACAAGAGTTTCCTCAAGAACGTGTTCCACTGATAACATGGTAATATACTCTCATATATTTTTGTCTCTGATACACAATTATATTACCAACTGGTACACAACTGCATTTTTCATTATTACACCAGGGCTCCTAGCAGACATTACACTTAAGATTAGCCTGCTAATCATGCCTTAAATACTAACCTGGCCACACATTCAGGGAATTAATGGTGCCACAGAAAAGAAGACCTTCCACAAAGATATTACACAAAAAATCATAATATTCTTGTGGCTGGTTTCCATCATGCCTCCACATGGGAGGGTTAGGACTGCACTGGGGTCTCTAACTGGCCTTGGTGCAGTCTCCATCAACCAACAATCAGCTGACTGTTGACTGGATCTTAGACTACACCAGTCCTAGAACTGGCCCCAGTGTAGTCCCGATCCAGCTAACAATCACCTGATTGTCAGCTAGCTCTGGGGATGCACTGGGGCTGTTTCAGGCCCCAGTGTGGTCCCACAACCTGCTGACAATCAGCTGATTGTTGGGTACCCTGCTTTCAACTTGCAGGTACAGGGGGAGACCAGGATCATGATCCCAGGTTCCCCCTGAACTGGCAAATAGGATGCAATTGGAATACAGTCCCCAATGCTGAAACCATACATCCTGCTACACATGTGGCATGGCAGGTGGCACAACTGCTGGGATCAGATCAGATCAAATCCCATCATGGCTTTAACTGAGTACGTGTCAGTGGCCTAGGACTCAGGAATCTGTTAGAAGTAGACAAAATCTTCTGGACATACAAACCAATAATACTATCCCAGGTATACATTAAATATGTAAGTCACAGTATTCTAAAGTTTGTAAAACAGTATATTAATTAGCCTGATTTGTGTATTCATTCAGTCCTGTGCCAGATTCAGCTTCCTAATCCAAATTCCACTGGAGGGCTTTTCATGTATTTGAGCAGGTCTGAATATTCCACAAGTTTCTAGTACTTTGGTTGTGTAGGAAACTTTCTGAATGTTAGTACAGTCATGCATTACTGCCATAATAACAAAGCAACCTTTCTGAAAAATTACATGAGACAGTTTATCAAGTGTCCCTTTCTCAAATTCTTCACACTGCTCTTACGAGACTAATAAAAATACAGAAGTTCAGCAATGACAAGAACCCATTTTAACAATGCTTACCTGCCCTGCTGTAAGTGCTCTAATTGGTTTAGCTAGTGTCACCCACACTGTCCCATCCTGGTTTAGAGTTAACATGCAAGGCTCTGAAAAGAAAAAGTTGCTGAACAGTCAGCTTGCTCTTATATTTTCATATGCATAAAAAAGGGCTGTCCAAGTGGCAGCTCAACAGGCTGAGTAGTTAATCTGCAGTCCCCAGGCTCCCACCAGGCTGCCACTCCTCCTATTGCTCTGGGCTTTCTCTCCGGCTTCTGCTTCCTGCACCTACCCCAGGAAGTGGCACAGCACCAAGCAGCAGGGGAGCCTGCAGCTGGTGAGCTGAAGGAGACTGGCCATGTGCATGTGTGGAGGAGCAGGGAAGTGGCTGCCTACACACCATGCAGCAGGTGATGATAGGGGAGAACTTGGCTTGCACTTCTGCAGCCCTTGTGGCATGTGGCCCCTCTCCAGTGCTGCCCCCAGGCTGCTGAGAAGTTGGACAGCTCTGCCATAAATAATAAGGCTAAGTCTTCACAAAAATGGAAAAGCATTGCTATTATAAACATTTGCCACTTCCTCTTGAGCAACTGTTTAATACACTATTTCAATCTATCTCCATTTCACAATTTGAAGTTTTAAATCAACAAAGCTTGCTCACCTAGTGCCATCTGGTGCTGAAATTTGAAAAGACACTCCATCATGTTGTTCCTAATTAGTTCTGCAGGAGGTTCCTCTGCAATCCAGTGCACTCGATTTGTCCTCATTAGGTCTCTATACAGTGCAGGGTGATCTGTAGATGGTGCCTTAAAAACAATTTTTGTTTAAGGCCAATGCTTATGCCAGGTATAGCATAACTTGTTGCGAAGTAAAGCATAAAGTACAAAAAAAAAAGCATCAAGGCAAATCAAAACAAAGGCTCATATCATAGTTAACCAACTAGATTTCATAAAATCATAGAAGTAGGGTCGGAAGAGACCTTGTAGATCTTCAAGCTCAAGCCCCTGCCTGGGCAGGAGGAAAACTAGGCTCAAATGACCCCAGACAGGTAGGCATCAAGCCTCTTCTTAAAGACCCCCAAGGTAGGCGCCAGCACCACTTCCCTTGGAAGCTGGTTCCAGATCCTAGCTGCCCTAACCGTGAAGTAGTTCTTACGGATGTCTAATCTAAACCTACTCTCCAACAACTTGTGGCCGTTATTCCTTGTTATCCCGGGGGGCGCTAGGGGAAACAAGGTCTCCCCCAAGCCCTTCTGGTCCCCCCCTAGTGAGTTTATAGACAGTCACCAGGTCCCCCCTCAGCCTTCTCTTGTGAAGGCTGAACAGGTTCAGGTCCCGCAGCCTCTCATTGTAGGGTCTGCCCTGCTGTCCCCGGATCATGCGGGTGGCCCTCCTCTGGACCCTCTCAATGTTGGCCACATCCCTCGTGAAGTGGGGCGCCCAGAACTGGACACAGTACTCCAGCTGTGGCCTGACCAGTGTCGCGTAGAGGGGGAGAATCACCTCCTTGGCCCTACTTGAGATGCACCTGTGGATGCACGATAGGGTTCGGTTGGCCCTGCCGACCGTGACCTCACATTATCAGCCCATGTTCATCTTGGAGTTAATAATGACTCCAAGATCCCTTTCTGCCTCCGTGCTCTCAAGAAGGGAGTTTCCCATCTTATAAGTGTGCTGCCGGTTACTACTGCCCAAGTGCAGCACCCTGCACTTGTCAGTATTGAAACACATCCTGTTTTTGTTAGCCCATCCCTGCAACCTACCCAGGTCTTGCTGCAGTCTTTCCCTCCCTACTAGCATGCCCACCTCACCCCAAATTTTGGTATCATCAGCAAATTTAAACAGGTTGCTTTTCACCCCATCGTCCAAATCGCTGATAAAGAAATTAAACAGTGCAGGCCCAAAGACCAAGCCCTGGAGGACTCCACTGTCCACTTCCCCCCAGGTCAAATATGACCCGTCCACCAACACCCTCCGAGTATGACCCTTCAGCCAATTTGCAATCCATCTGACCGTGTAGGCAATGATGCCACAGTTGCCTAGTTTTTTAATGAGGATGGGGTGGTCAACAGTCAAAGGCCTTGCTGAAGTCCAGAAAGACTACATCCACGGCGACACCTGCATCCAATAGTTTTGTGACCTGATCGTAAAAGGCAATCAGGTTGGTCCGACATGACCCACCCCTAATGAAACCGTGCTGGTTGCCCCTGAGCATCATCCCCGATGCCGGCCCATCACAGATGTGCTCCTTGATGATCTTCTCAAAGAGTTTCCCCAGGATTGAGGTAAGACTGATGGGCCTATAGTTGCCCAGGTCCTCCCTCCTCCCTTTTTTAAAGATGGGGACCACATTGGTGATTTATTACAGTCTAATGAAAAAATGCCAGGAGTCAGAATTATTTTTCAGCTCCCTCCCCTGAAGTTTTGCCAGTTCATGTACTCTCCCACAATTAGGTCTTCAATCTTTTCCTTATCCCTGCTGTCCTCTTCATTCTTGTCCAAAAGTGTCTCCTCAATGAAATTCCTCTCTAAGAATCAGTTATTCCCTTGATGCCCATTAAAACAAATCTCTGTCTATAAAAATTAAGCAATCAAAATACACACATTCTTTTGAGTAATGCATTCTTATGCAATTTGTTGGTATCCCCTGTACTTCCCCTTGGCCCCACTCTACTGACTTTAACCCTTAGGTTAGGTGCTTTCACAAGATCTAATATAAGAGTGTAAGCCCTCATGACCAGGGACCTTGCTTTGACTCTGTTCTTAAAGTGAAAAAATACTTTTGAGTACTACAATGCAACAAAAAGCCCTTCCACCTAACAAAGCCATCACTGCCAAACACAGAACACCAGGGATGTTTAGACTACTGATCCATGCAAGTCTAAAACAAATAATGTTCATTTTCCAGGATCCAACGTTAAAATCACAGGATTATAGGAAAGCAGGGTTGGAAGGGACCTCACGAGATCCTCTAGTCCATAAAGCATCCCAGCCATGCATCTGTCTAACCTGCTTTTGAAAGTTTCCAAGCATGGAGATTTCACGATTTCTTTAGGCAGCCTGTTCCAATGCCTGACCACTCTCATAGTCAGATTGTTCCTCCTAATCTCCAGCCTAAATTTCCCCTACTGCAGCCTGAGGCTATTGCTCCTAGTCCTGTTCCATACAGTCACAAAGAAAAGCCCATCTCCAACTTCTCTATAATCACCCTTAATGTATTTGAAGATTATTGTCAAACTTCCCCTCAGTCTTCTCTTTTCCAGGCTAAATAAATCCTTTCAGCCTCTCCTCATAAGTCTTGCCTCCCAGGCCCCTAGTCATTTTTGCTGCCCTGTGCCAGACTTTTCAAACTGTCCACATCTTTCTTGAAATGTGGGGCCCAAAAATAGACACAGTACTCCAGGTGAGGTCTCACCAGCACTGAACAGAGTGGAAGAATCACGTCCCTTGATTTGCAAGCAGCACTCCTGATGATGTGACCCAGGAAGCCGTTGGCTTTTTTTTGGTGCAATAAGAGCACACAGTTAGTTCACATTCAGCTTATGGTCTATGGTAACCCCCAGGTCTTTCTCTGCAATCCTGTAGCCTAGTAAGTCATTCCCCAGTTCGTACTGATTGTGGACCATTTTTCAAATCTATCCAGGTCATTCTGGATTCTAGCCCTGCCCTCCAGAGTGTCCACAATTCCACTCAATTTAATATCATGCATAAATCTGCTTTAGTGTTCACTCGATCCCATCATCCAAATCATTAATGAAGATGTTCAACAATACCAGACTCAGGACAAACCCCTGGGGAACCCCACATGATACCTCTTCCCAACTAGACACTGAACCATTGAGGACTGTTTGCTAAGCACAAAGATCCAACCAGTTATGTATCCACTTTATAGTACTTTCATCTAGTCTGTATTTCCATAGCTTGTTTATGAGAATGTCATAGCAGACAGGGTCAAAAGCCTTGCTGAAGTCAAGGTATACCAAACCCACTGCTCTCCCCTCATCCACAGGGCCTAGTTACCCTGGCAGTTTATCATAGAAGGAAATCAAATTGATTAGGCCTGACTTGCTCTTGGTTAATCCACACTGACTATTCCTAGTCGCCTTGTTCTCCACTAGATGCTTCACAATGGATTCCTTGAGGACTTCCCTCCATGATTTTTCTATATATAGAGGTCAGATTGACCGGTCTTTAGTTTCCTGGATTCTCCTTCTTCCCTTTCTTAGATGGGCACTATATTTGTCCTTTTCCAGTAATTTGGGACCTCACCTGACCTCCAGGACTTCTCAAAAAGATAGCCAATGGCTCTGAAATTACCTCAACTAATTCCTTCAGTATCCTCAGGTGCATTCCATCTGGCCCTGCTAACTTGAAAACATCTAGGTACTATAAGTAATCCCTAACCTGGTTTGCCATTACTCTAAGCTGTTTATCTCCTTTCCTATCTCTGCTGTCAAGTGTACTCATCAGCTGGCAGCTGCCCCTATTTGTGAAAACCAAAGTAAAAAGGCATTACATACTTCATTCAAGCTTCTCTGCATTGCCCATGTCTAGATTGCCTTCCGCATTCCACAAGGGACCTATGGATAGTGACCTATTTAATCACAGCTGAAGATAACAATGCAGCGGTGCCTTTAATCTTGCTGTTTTCAGTGCACCCCAACCACTTCCCTGCTGAGAAGTGGCTGAGACACAAAAACCACAGCATTAACGGGGGCACATGAGAAGATTACCAAAAGGAGAACCAAAGAGCAAGATTAAAGGCACTGTTGTTCCACGAACTCTGCCGTGATCTAGGTCGGTCCCTACCCATGGAATCTCTGGTCTTCCTTTTACTTTAGACATACCTATATAGAATCCCTTTTCATTGCATTTTATGTCCCTTGTCAGCTGCACCTCAAATCATGCCTTGGCCTTCCTAATTTTCTCCCTGAATGCCTGTGCAATACTCTTATACTCTTCCCAATACTATGACCAAGTTTCCACTTTTTATAGGATTTCTTTTTGAGTTTCAACTCCTTGAAAAGACTGCTGTCCAGCCAGACTGGTCTCCTACTATACTTCCCATTCTTCCACGTCATCAGGATAGCTTGCTCCTGTGCCTTTAAGAGAGCCTCCTTAAAGTACAGCCAACTCTCCTGAACTACTTTTCCCCTCAGATGCAAGAGATCCTG